TGATAGATTAGATAGATGATAGATAGACAGACAGACAGACAGATAGATAGATAGATAGATGATAGATGATAGATTAGATGATAGATTTGATAGATAGATGATAGATAGATGATTGATAGATTAGATAGATGATAGATATAGATAGATGATAGATAGATAGATGATAGATAGATAGACAGATGATACATCAATAGACATATAGATGATAGAAGATAGATGAGATGATGATGATAGATGACAGATGATAGATAGATGATAGATAGATAGATAGATAGATAGATAGATAGATAGATAGATAGATGATGATGCAATAAAAAAGGAATAAATCAGAGAAACAATCTCAGTCACCTAAAAAAATAAAAATAAAAAACACTTTGGCATAAACCTAACCATGGAAGTGAAAGTCTTCTATAATAAAAACTTTAAAATACTCTATAGAAGATAAAAAAAACTTCCCATTTTCATGGATTAGAGCAGCCGTGAAAATGGCTCTCTTGTGAAAAGCAATTTACAGATTCAATGTAATCCCCATCAACAGTTCAACACCATTCATCACAGAAATAGAAAAGGCCACCTTACACTTCATTTAAAAACACAAACCTCGATTAGCAAAAGCAATTCTAAAAGGGGAAAAAAAAATAAGGCTAGCAGTATCATCAACCTAACTTCAAATTGTATTAGAGTAATAGCCAAAAAAAAAAAAAAAAGAGGAGGAGAAGAGGAAGAAGAAGCATGGTACTAACACAAAAACAACATGTAGATCAAGGGATAGAATAGGAAATCCAGATATAAAGCCATGCAGTGTCAGACAGCTAGTTTTGACAAAGATGTAACAAATATTCACTGGAGAAAAGAAATCCTCATCAACTAATGTTGCTGGGAAAACTGGACATCTACATGTGGAGGAATAAAACTAGAGCCTTATCTCTGCACAAAAATCAACTCCAACTGGATCAAAGACCTTAACATAAGACCTGAAGTCCTGAACTTGCTAAGAAAAGGCAGAGAAATAGGTATAGGTAAGACTTTCTGACTAGGATTCTAGCTACTCATGAATAACAACAATTGACAACTGGACCTCTTGAAATTTAAAAGCTTCTGTACAGCAAAGGAATAAGTTAATTGAGTGAAAAGACAGCCTGAACAATGGGAAAAAATCTTGGCCAGCTATATATCTGACAGATTACTATCTAGAATAAACAAAAATTCAAATAGCAACAAGAAAACAAACAATCCAACAAAAAAAAAAAATGGGTTGCAGCGCTAAAGAGTTCTCAAAAGAAATACAAATAGCCAATAAATACTTTTAAAGCATACAACATCGTTAGCCATCAAGGAAACGGAAATTAAAAGTACTTTAAGATTCATTCCATTCAGAGCTGGAGAGATGGCTCAGTGGTTAAGAACACTGGCTGTTCTTGCAGAAGACCCAGGTTTAAATCCCAGCAGCCACATGGCAGCTAACAACTGTCCATAACTCCAGTTCCAGGGGATCCAACAGCCTCTTCTGTCCGCCAAGGGCATAACATGGGTGCACTTACATACATGCAGGCAATACATGCATATACATAAAAATAATAAATAAAATATTTTTTAAAAAAGATTCACCCTAGTCAGAACAGCCATCATCAAGAAAATAAATGATGACAACTGCTGGCCCTTGACATGTAAGGAAAGGGGAACTCCTATTTACCATATTCCTGCATTATAAACATGCACAGTAACTGTGGAAATCAGTGTGGAAGTTCTTCAAAAAAACTAGAACTACCATATGACCCAGTAATACCACTCCTGGACATATGCCCAAAGGTCTCCATATCCTACCACAGAAACTTGTACATCCATGTACATTGCTATTCTAGTCACAATAGCAAGGAAGTAGAATCAGCCTACATGTCCATCAGCTGATGAATAATGAAAGTGTGACACATATACACAATGGAATTTTATTCAGCAGTAAGGAAAAATGAAATTATGAAACCTGCAGGAAAATGGCTAGAACTGCAAAATAGTATATTAATTCAGGTATCCCAGGCTTAGAAAGAAAAACACTGATTGTTTTCTCTCCTATGTAGACCTTAAATTCTAATTTTTAGATAGGTGTATTTATATGGGAGTGTATATAGAGGCCAAGAACCTAGAAAAAGGCCTGTGAAAGGAAGAAGAAGAAGCTTGGTGTGTAGCTAGTAGAACATACATGATTTGAAAAGAAGGACGGGGAATATGAGAGATGGAAAAGTCTAAGCAAGGAATGGGGGATCAGGAAGCTGGGAGAGGAGAAAGGGTCAATCAAAACTAAGTACTAGTTTTTTGTTTTTTTTTTTAAAGCCATAAAGAAACCTGTTACTTTGTAGGCTAATTAAAAAACAATTTTTAAAGGGATTTTTGAATGGAGGTACCCTGTGTGTCCAGAAGCCGTAAGTTGAATGAAAACTCTAGTGCTAGGGGTTAGCTACCTCCCTACAAGTTGTTGACCAGTGAAGCTTCTGAGCCCTCACACCAAAAGAACACAGGCTACTGCCACTGCTATTGGTTGCTTACCAGAACTACATGGTTAGACACTATTGCTTAAGTTACCATACACTTTGCAGAAACTGGAATGGAACTGAGCTCAAAGCTTCTTCCCTGCTGGCTAAGATACATGGTGCCAGGAGGTGCTATGCAGGCTACTGGGGAAGAAGTGTCATCAACAGTCTTCCTCAGCTGTGGACCCTGTATGCTACACTATGAACATGACAGGCAGGATATGCTCACTGATATAATAGTGACATGGCTCGTTATGAGGGTTACTGCTTTCTGATTGGGTCTGAGGCCTGCCTCACAGAATTCATGTCTGCTATTGTAAATCTGGTCAAAAGTCATGGCTAGGAAGGACACAGGCACTAGTGGGAAACCTACTTCACGTTAGGACATGATGTGCCTAACAAACTGCTAGAAGGCACCCTCCTGTCAGCTTTGGACAGAGTAGCTTCTTTGTGCAGTGGGGAACAGTTACCGAAAACTATAACTGGTCAAAATGCTAAGTCTAAGTGACTGTTGAATGCTCAGCCCTAAACAGGACATCTATATCAACCACTGTAAGGTTCAAGGAACATCATAGAAGAGGAGGCAGTGGGAATAAAGGCAAGAATCAGAGGAAGGTGAGAATTACTGTGGAACTCTGTCTTCAGGGCATGATGTGGCCATTGTACTCTTTAACTCACTGCAGCTGTGATTACCTGCACAAGATCTGCACAAGAGTGGGTCTGTCAACATTCTGTTTTGGGGGAGAGGAATTCTGAGGCCCCACCCATCCCTGAGGATTTATAGGCAGTTAACTGTTGCTGAGGAAGAAGAGACATTGTCTTCCATGGTATATCCACTGGTAAGTTACCCATGCTCCTGTGATAACCTCTCATCCAGGCTCCCGTGATAACCTCTCACCCAGGCTCCCGTGATAATCTCTCATCCAGGCTCCCGTGATAACCCCTCACCCATGCTCCCATGATAACCCCTCACCCAGGCTCCTTTGATAACTATAAATAAGCACAATGGGGACCAAAAACAAAAACAGACATGAAAGTAAAATGAGAAGTGGTTGGAAAGAAGGGGATCGGCAGAAGAAAGGGTAACAAGAGAGGGGGATAGGAGAAAAAATGATAAAAATACATTATGTACATGTGTGAAAATGTCCAAAGAAAAGCTGTTATTATATATAATTAATATATACTAATAAAAAGTTAATTTTTAAAAATCACTTATTTTAGGCAAGGATGGTGGCTCACGCCTATAATTCCAGCACTCAGAAAGTGAAGGCAGGAAGATAAGCAGTTCAAGGACAGCATGAGATACATAGCAAGTTCAAGACCAGCCTGGGCTTATGCAATGAAGTTATCCAACTCTAATAACGATGTGTCTATTTGTGGGGGCTGGAGAGATGGCTCAGCGGTTAAGAACATCGATTGTTCTTGCAGAAGACCCAGGTTTGAATCCCAGCACCCACATGGCAGCTAACAACTGTCCGTAACTCCAGTTCCAGAGGATCTGACAGCCTTGTCTGTCCTCTGTGGGCATTGCATGACATGGGTGCACTTACCTACATTCAGGCAATACACGCATACACATAAAATAAAAATAATAAATAATAAATTTTAAAAAAAACAATGTGTCTATTTGTAACCACTATCCTGTCCTCATGTAACTACAGGTGAAACATGGCCTTCCAGAGATCAACAACTAGGAATTATTTTCCCTGGAGTGAGCTAGTGAATTATTCTGTTAATAAAATGTAAATATCATAAGCATCAAAAAGATACATTAAGGAACTGAAGCATTCAGAATACCTGTACTATAAACTGTAACTCTCTTCTTTCTGCTTCCCATTGCTCTGCTTGTAATCTAAACTCCTCCAATGTTGTCTCCCTGACATGAGACTCCATCTCACTCTTCGCTTGCTGATGTTTTTCCAGTGCGTCCTTTACATGAATAAAATCGTGCTTTACTATTACATCAACACAGGTTACCTTGTATCTTTCAACCCTAGTTTAAAATGTACAAAAGATTTCTGCCTACTTATAAAATCTTGGGGCTGGAGATGTAGCTCAGTTAATGGACTGCTTGCCTAGCAAGTAATGAAGGCCTGGGTTTAATACCAAATTCTGCATAAAACTAGGTATGGTGGCCCATACCTATGAGCTCAGGCTTTGGAAGGTAGAGCAACAGGATAAGAAGTTCCAGGTCATCTTTGACTATGAAGACAGTTCAAAGACAGTCAAGGATACACAAGACTGACTCAAATAATAACAACAATAATTCATGCTAAAATCTTAATAAAACTATCATTTTGATCATCAGGATATAAATTTGACTGAGAAATTAGAATCACCCTTCTAACTTAAGCAAGGTATAATAATTTCTTATGTATGCAGATACATTTGACCAAATTTTTCTGAACCTACAGGGTTAAAAACTAAAGTCTCCATTAAAACAGAGAAAAATTCTGTGGTTTATATGAGAAAGAAATGTATTTGACCATATGGATCTGTTTTATAAACATTACCCTCATAACTTTCACATTTAGAAAGCCACAAGAGCCTTGAGACTTTCCCCTAAGTACTAAAAGGTGACTCCTATTCAACCCCAAAGTCCCTTAAGGATCTCAGTGCTTAAGAGTTCAGAAAAGCCAGGCGTGGTGGCACACGCCTTTAATCCCAGCATTTGGGAGGCAGAGGCAGGTGGATCTCTGTGAGTTCAAGGCCAGCCTGGTCTACATAGTGAGTTCCAGGCCAGCTGGGGCTTCAGAGAGACCCTGTCTCAAAAAGACCACACACACACACACACACACACACACACACACACACAAGAGTTCAGAAAAAAACAGATGTCCTGAGCATCTGTGAAGATCCTATCAAGATTTTACACCTTAAACTGCAGGCTACTTGACTGCAAGAAGTGCTAGCACTACCCTTCTTTCTTCATGGTGTCACAACTGATGTGGGCAAATAATCCATGCCACCAATATCAACCGCACCTAAACCACCACCATTCAAATACCAGGGTAGAGCAAGTGGTTAAGAGACATGATAGGGGAGATGGGAGAAAATAAAAGCTGATCGGCTGGCACTGCACAACTTTTAAAAATTACTAAATATTTTATGAAACCATTTTTAGTGAAAACGAAGGGAAACAATGCACAACTGTGGTAAAATAGAGCATTCTTACATTTTTATCTTCTTTAAAATTTAAATTATTCCTCTGAAATCATGGCAAGGATGGATACTTCAAAATCTGCCACTTAAGTGACTGTCAATATCAATCCTAAACCCCACTTACACTTCAGGGAGAAATAAAAACAAAAACTATGGGAAAATATACCTCACAATAATCTTTAAAGATTAAGTATTTTTCATTTCATAATTCCTCTAGAATATGCTTTACATAATGAAGCACTGTCAAGCACAGTTTTCTATAATATTCAAACTGAAATCTAGGACCTATATTTTTAAAATTCCGCATTTTCATATTGCTAGAAAAAAAGGATATATGTTCTTAACTTTTTACAGTGTACTACAAGTTTGTTTTTTTCTTTTTGGTTATAGTTTTTGTCTTTGTTTAGTTTTTATTGTTTTCTTTTCTTTCATTTTTCTGTGGTGCTGGGGATCAAACACAGAGCCTCAAATATGCTAGGCAACAACTCACTGAGCTACAGCCTCGGCCTTGTTTGCCTTTTCGTTTTGAGTAGAGCTCTCAAATGCTTTTCAAAAAATTAGTATACATAATACATATTCATACACTGGTGAAGCTACAAGAGAGACATGGAAAAATGGCTCTAAAATGGTAAGAACAGAGGGAAAAATGAAGGAGGAAAACCCAAGGAAAACTTCAGGTAATACACATCTACAGCTCAAAGAATATTATACAGAGAAAAATTCCTTCATGAAAAATATTTTACCTGTAGAGTTTTTTCTAGTCTACTTTTTTCCTTCATAAGTAAATCATATTCTCGATTGCAATTTTGAATTATATTGTCTCTTTCCTCCAAATCATGTTCAAATCGTCTACATTCTTCTTTCCACTTCTGCTGGGAAGTCTGAAATGTTTCCTCAATCTCATTTGCCATTCCTTGAAGTTCTGAATTCTGTGCTATTAAAAACATGATAGAATAACATATTTATAACCATGAACTCAATCATTAATCTAAAAACCTGCTAGGTGTAGTGGCACACATCTTTAATCCCAGCACTGGGGAGACAGAGGCCAGCCTGCTCTACATAGCAGATTCCAGGCCAGCTGAGGCTAGAGGGAGACCCTCTGTCTCAAAAAAACAAACAAAGAAGGCAAAGTAGTACTATACTAGAAACAAAATACTACCCACTGAAAATATACTATAATTGTTCATCTAAACCATCCAATTATATCACATGCTGAGTAGTTTTGGAAAAGAATGACTTCTCTGGTTTTGGGGGGGGTTTTGTTGTTGTTTTTTGGTCTTTTTGAGACAGGGTCTCCCTGAAGCCCCAGCTGTCCTGGAACTCACTATGTAGACCAGGCTGGCCTTAAACTCACAGGGATCCACCTGCCTCTGCCTCCCGAGTGCTGGGATTAAAGGCATGCGGCACCACGCCCGGCTTGGTTTTTAATAATACATTTCAATTACTATGACTGTAACACACATTATAAAAGAAAAGGCATAAATAAAAAGAATACACATTCCTGCTTTAAAGTGGCAAACTATACTCTCCCTGCCCAAAACAAAACAAAATAAAATGCCTAATTAAAATAACAGTAAAGAGCACTTACAGCTAGAAACCAGAAGAAGAAAAGATGCGGAAATAGCAACAAAACACTGGAAGAGGGCAAGCAGGCACAAACAAAACTAATCTTTGCAGTGGACTTCATTTACAAGATGATCCTTAGGACAAAACATTTAATTTTCTCCCTTCTATTAAGTTTTGAAAAGCTCACTGTCCGTGTACTAATACACTTCAATATTTCACTCCTCCATCCCTCAGATGGAGGGAATTTTGCCCTGAAACAATATGACATGTTCTTGAAGGTATGCACATGTTTAGGTGCATCTCTAGCAGCAGCTATTACTGCTGCTAACTTTTTCCACACATCAGGGTCTGCAAGACAGGTAAAAGCACTTGCTTCACAGGCCTGAGGAGCTGAGTTGGATCACTAGATCCCATGGTGGAAGAGAACCAACTCCAAAAATGTCATCTAACCTCCACATGAGCCCCCGTGGACTCTCTCTCTCTCTCTCTCTCTCTCTCTCTCTCTCCTCTCTCTCCCCCCCAAGCCTTTTAAGTCTCAAAGATTACAAATTTTGATATTTTACCATTAGAAACATGCTAGTTGCAAAACATGTCAAAAATGAGGTCACAAAACAGGCTGTGCAACACTGCGACTGTCCTTAGAGCTGTCCTGTGTGCCCCACGTGGAGGCAGGGCTCACCTCTCCCCTTGCTGACCTCAGCAGTCAGCAACACCTCTTGTCATGGCACCCCTGCTATTTACTGTTTCAGCATCCAAAAAAGGAGGAGACTTCCAGGCCTGGCCAATCACTTAACTCTCTGATTCTCTGGCCATCAATAAGTTTTTGTAGAATTAATAAATATGGATAAATACACTTACTAAATAAACAAAAATACCCATTATGCTGGTAGTATGCTTTTTTAATTCTATTTTTGTTTTGAATGGGTCATGCACACAAAAGATGCAAAATTCAAAGATAAAAACAGCGTAAAAAGATATACAGAAACATCTCCCTGATACCTTTCCATTGTGTAGCATTCAATGCTCCACGCAAGAAGTCTAAGGCCATTCTGATACCTGATCCTCTGCAGTTAGCCTATTCTCTTTCTTCTTTGAAAACTTTAAAATACTTTGTTTTTCTGAAAATGTACACTACTAACTATGCCTTCAGGTGGGTCTAGTCCCTTCCACAGTGGGGAACATTCACTGGGCCATTCAGTCTGGCAGTTCATGTTCTTTAGTTCTCAGGTGTGACCTTCAATAATCCCACTGAAAATATCTGTATTTTATACAAAATATCTCAATCCATCTTAATCATCTTTATACCCCCTTCCCCACTGGCACCCCCTCACAGCCCCCCACTGGAATTCATACATTCTATCATTTGTGTTAAGGCCTTTGTGTCGTTAGTGTCCCCAGATGTTCCTCAGTGCAAGGTCATCCACGGAGATCTAGTCAGCCTACGTAGAGTCTCTTGCTTTAGGAAGATCAGCTCTTCCTCCTCCAGCAGTAATCAAATGCCAATATTTCTTCAGCTAAGATTGGGGCCTTCTGTCAACTTCCACAGTTCTATGCTGAGTTTTTGTCTGCTTGAGTTTGCAAGGGACCTGTGTATGCTGACACCATTGCTGTGGGTTCAAATGAGCAGGGTTCCAGGAACTTGTAGGACACTATTTCCATATGATCGTGCACCTCCTCCCTGACTCTTACAATCTTTTCAATCCCTCTTCCCTGAACACTGGGTAGGTGAAGGTTAATATAGGAATCCTGTCCAAGAACCAGCATTTTGCAGACTCTTAATCTCTACACTTTGTCCATTTGTGATCTTTGTGTTCCTGGTCCTCTGATGCATGAGGCAGCTTCGGTAATGAGAACTGAGAGATTCACTAGTGACCTCTTTACCCCAGTTCTATGTTCTGTGAGCCGCAGGTGCTATTTTATCTTCTTTACTGCCAGCATCACTATTTCCTATTATTCAGATTGGTCCACAAATTTTCTTGTTTCTTCTCTCTTATTTTCCCAGTTCTGTCCTTTGCACATTAATTGCTGGGAAATTTCTTCCATTTTCATATCTACCTTGATTTTTTTTCATTTCTAGCTTTTTTCTTTACAGTTTTTGGTTTTTTCTTTTATGGAATATAGTCTCTTCCAACTCTAAGAATATTAATGCTATTTGTTAAGTTTCTTCTCCCTAAAGGGGTCTATTTCTTTCAAGTTGATTTTTTTTTTCTCTCCATTTAAAAATTCTCCTCTGGGTTGGAGAGATGGCTCAGTAGTTAAGGGCACTGGCTGCTCTTGCAGAGTACCCGGGTTCAAATCCCAGCACCCACATGGCAGCTAACAACCATCCATAACTCCAGTTCCAGAGGATTTGACACCCTCTCTAGCCTCCATGGTCATTGCATGACACGGGTGCACTTACACACATGCAGGCAATACACTCATACACATAAAATAAAATTAAATGATTATAAAAACATTTTTAAATAAAATATATCTGATAATACTTGGTTACCTATTCAATTAAGAGTAAGGAAAATACAAGTGCATTTTATGCACCAATATGTCTACTACCGAGATTCTGAGCTTGTGAGGGATAGCTGACACTGGTCTTTGCTGATAGATCATCTAAGTCATTCACTAAGAAACCGCTAACATCACTATCAAGTTTTTATTCTTGTTTGGTCAGGTTACCCATGGAAAGGGCCTCCAAATTCCTACAATCAGTAAAGGAATTTGGTGCCTTTTGGAAACTGGAAGAACTTGTCTACTACCGAGATTCTGAGCTTGTGAGGGATAGCTGACACTGGTCTTTGCTGATAGATCATCTAAGTCATTCACTAAGAAACCGCTAACATCACTATCAAGTTTTTATTCTTGTTTGGTCAGGTTACCCATGGAAAGGGCCTCCAAATTCCTACAATCAGTAAAGGAATTTGGTGCCTTTTGGAAACTGGAAGAACTAGTTCCCTAAGTGTTGGGGTCCTCTGTTATGCAAAGTAGAAGTCTCTTCACGTCCGGATAGCTCACGAGCTCGGAAACCATGTGCTGCAGATTCCTTTCATAGCAGAGTGCCTTCCTGGCATCCTCCCTGACTCTTCTTTTAAAGTGCTCACCACAAATACATGCCCTCCGGCACAGGAGCTACCAGGTTTTTAATCAGGCGTTGTCTGATAGCCTGATAGAAGCCCACCGCCCTATGTAAATGAGGCATCCTAAAAGTACCTATCAGCTAAGGCTTCTTCTGCTGTCTCTACACTATAAATAGTCCTAGTTTTACCCCAATAAAGTTGGAGCTGGAGCTGAATCACTGAGATCTGAGCTGAGTCACTTGTCTTGAGCTGTAACACTAAATCCTGTGATCCAGTCTCCCTGGGGGGCGCTATTCCTCCATCGCCGACTCACGGACACCCTGGCTTTCGCCGTCCCTCATACGCTTCCCGTGTGGTCCAAGTGGCCAGTGGACCTCACATCCTGAGGAAGGTATACGGGTGAAATAGGGACGGGATCGACTGAGTAGACCTCAGTAGCGGAGGAACTTTCACTGCCCAGGAGTGCGCACTGGAACCCTGAGAGCCCAGCACGTGCTCGCCTATATCTGGCGCCACAACGTGGAGCTTCTGAACCTCGTGCTACAACGTGGAGCTTCTGAACCTCGTGCTACAACGTGGAGCTTCTGAACCTCATGCCACAACGTGGAGCTTCTGAAGCTCGTGCCACAACGTGGAACCTCTGAACCTCGTGCCAGCTAGGAGCTGGTGCCCCACAGAAACGCAAATGATCCATGAGTATCCCTCCTCCCCTTCAGGAGGGTAATCTAATCTCTTCATCTCTTCTAAATTTCCTCCTAACCGCCACTTCACCCAACTTTTTCTATCTCAATACTGCAAGAGAAAAAATCCCTAAAGTTCTAAGCTTTAGAGTCAGGCAGATTTCTCTAAGTCAGCTCTGTTATCCTGCCTCAGAGCATTTGAGCCACACCTAGTCCCTGCCAGAACACCTAGGAATTCAGGGTGGTTCACAGTTAGACAAAAGATTTAAAGTGAAACTTTTTTCCTGTAGCCTAAGGGCTGGTAACCTGCAAAAGCAGCTTTTAGACAAAAGATTTAAAACAGGCAATTTTTTTCTACAGTTTAAAACTCCTGCCTGTCAGAGCAGTGCCAAGTTACTGCAAAACATTTAACATCTTCTCTTTACAATGGGAAACTCAGAATCACGTCAAAAGAAAAGACAAATTCGTTCCCTTAAAATCCTACTTAAAACCAGAGGATTAAAAATTTCTAAAGAGGAAAGCTTAAAATTTTGGAATGAGATGCATGGGTTTGCACCCTGGATCTTATCAACAGACACATCTGATCCAGAGGTGTGGAACTTTCTTTCACATTT